TAAGGTGATGTGAATTGTGATGCGAATGCATAGCTGTCGTTGAAATGTGTTAGAGATATTGTCTTTACAATAAGGTAGGTTGCCCATTTAGTGAAAACCTTTGTCTTAAATTTGAACCCTCATGGTTAAGGGTAGTAATTTGCTAGGCCATATTGACATAGATCTTGACCGTCGGGATGAACACCTAGAAAACGAGGATGAAGTTCTCATGGGTCAAGGATTTTTCAAGACTAGCGATGCCGCTAAGACCTAGTCCTGACACAAACTGGATTAGTGGAGGCGGGATCACCCACGAGCTGCACCGGTAGAGGAAGGCTCAAAGGCTAAATCTTGTCAACATAGACACTTAGCCCGAGGCAGGCAGTTACGCGACCGCGGGGCGAGAGCATGGCGTACGTGTGAATTTATGCTCATCGAACCCAAATCCGTTTTTTGAGGACCTCAATAGGCAAACGAAATCCCTGGTAGAGGTGCCACCTGTCGAGCGCATGGTCCCCACAAGAGGGGACCTTCCTGACCGCGTCAAGTAGGATTCGGCACGTCACATCGAGGTACGGAGCTTCGTCGCACCGGCCGAGTGCGCTAACTATACCTCTCACAAGTCCCTACAACAACATAGGGTCCCGCGAGGTACAACTGACCTCGACCCGCGGGAGCTGTCACCATCCCTTGCGTGGGCGTATCCCTGTTGATCTATCAATCCACATTACGAAAGTTTACATGCAATCACAGAGATGGACCAGCCGAGGGCATTTCTCGCTCGTTGTAGCATACAGAATACGAGCGATCATGCTTGATCAACAGCCATTTCGTCAAAACGGACATATTATATTTTTTATACGAAATTGAAACTGAGTTTTTGGGGCAAAATCCGGTCCAAAGTTTTTGCTCATGGGGATCCGGCATTCCCAGAACGCCGGACCCCCTAGTCTGCCCTAGATGTATTTGGTCTTTGCTTGAGGTCAGATACATCTAGGGGGTCCGACGTTCTAGGAACGTTGGACCCCCCGGAGCCAAAAATTTAGACCGGATTTCGGCCCAAAAACTCAATTTCAATTTCGTTCAAAAAATATAATATGTCTGTTTTACCGAATTTGTCGTTGATCGAACCCTCACGTGAACCGACGCTTGGGGCGCTGATCTCCCAAGTGCGGCCCTACGCTGGTCGACTAGGATATTGTAACTACCACACATCTTACCCTCACAAACATAAAGTTTAACTTCAAGGATAACTCTCTATGTCTAGTCCCTCGACAAACATTTCAACTTATAACTTGAAATGCACACGGAAATCAAGGTGTATTCCATGTGAAAATCCATAAGAGAATCGTGTGCACGATGAAGGCCACAACACTCAGTCATACGTACTCACGTGATCAACTGTAATGGCGACGCTTGACGCGTTACCCACAATCGCGCGATCTTTCGTGGGTTTAAAGGTCGCGCCCGACACTTAAGTATCGAAAGCGAAATATCATGAAGGATGTCTCTTTCACGATATAGAACTGTTGAAGAATAAGTCCTTCAACTCTCGATGGATCTCTGACAGCCAAAGAGCAGCGATAGGCAAGGTGTAAGTGTCCAGTATGCTGGGGAAACCCTCTTGTGTTGGACATGAACCTAGAATGTCATGGAGAAAGACCTCGAATTACAGGTTAAGAACCAACGTCCAACTAAACAAACAAACAAGCAAGCAAAATTTGACTCTTCCCTTAAGGTCTAAGATAGATATAGACATAAGTGGTAAGTAAAGAAAGATAAATGATATATTAGGTAAAATTTTTCTTTACTTACCTAAGCAAGATTTGACTCTTCCCTTAATATTAAATTAACAAAAATTTAGGTAGCACTTCCCATAAGAAAGTGTGCTCGCAAAATATTTACAAAACCAAAATCTAAAGAAAAAAATCTTAACTTAAAGACTACCTAAAAATAAAATAACTCTTTGGTTTTAACAAAAATTTCGACAACACTTCCTTTTACAAGGAAAAATTTCATAATTTCTATTGACTCCAAAATTAGACTAATTATAACCTAAAAGACTTTTCAGGATTTTGACAAAATCTGCAACTTCAGCAAAAAATTCGGCAGCATCTTTCCAAGGGAAGAAAACTCCAAAAATTTCTACAAACTTATAAGCAGCCTGATCTGGCGAAAGCAAGTATGCATGAAAAGACAATACGAGAAAAAAATAGACGACATGCCTATTGCTCATACAGAGGGCGAACACTAACAGACTTAACTACCAAATTATAAAGCAGATGAGCGAAAGACAAAATGCATGAATTGAATTTAAAGCAACTGCGCAAAGCAAAGGTACATAGATTAAAAACTCATATCTTCTTTGATATGTGTGAATCCTTCTCCCCTAAGATGTCCTCTATCTAAATTAACCAAGGTTTTGGCTTCAAAGTTCTCCTTATTAACAACAAACAAAGGTCGGGGAATTCGCAGTGGAGTCAACCTGATGTCACAAACAACACGACAAACGACCGAGAAACTCGCAGTGGACTCAGCGTAGTCGCCTAGATAAACAGAGTAAAAATTGAACACCAAACGATTGAAGAATCCTCAGTGGAATGAACCCAATCGTTAAATTTTAACAAAACAAGGCAAATAATTGAGGAATTAGCAATCGACTCAACCCAGTCGCTTGGCTCAATAAGACAAACGATTGAGGGATCCACAGTAAACTCATTCCAACTGCCTAGCTAAACACGTCAACCGATTGAGGAATCCCCAATGGACTCAACCCAACCACCTTGCTCAACAAGATAGATCATGCCAGTGCGATCGTTAAGTTAATTTCTCAGCATGAAGATAAATTAAACAAGCATAGTTGCTTCCCTTGATTCAATTAAAGTTTTAAACAAAAGTCAATAAAGATATGCACAATAGTCAAACCAGTCAAAACAAAAACGCAGGGTAATGTAGGTAAGAGTTTAACGGGATTCCAATGGAATCACGTCGGCCTAACTCAAAACTCTCTGCCTCCAGGGTCCCGCCTGAACCCCTGCAGAGCTCCTGCGATTGCATGGGCTCCTGAGATCCCACAGAGTCAAAGTACTACGGCATGGTCAAGATAGGAACCTGCCATCCATCATTCTCTCAGAGAAACCTGACCATACGAGTAATCAGTAAACTAAGTAAGAATGGAAGAAGAGACTCTGAAATGCTCAAGATACAGTGGAGGCGTACTCAGGATCCTCATGAGAGGGTATTTTGTAAGATAGGCAACATAGGCGCAATTAAATCCTCCAAGTCAAGCGCACATTGACTTCAACCAGCGGTGGTCCCAACCAATAGCAGCGAGACCGACAGTGGAGAACCCACCAGTTTGATTGGCTGCAGCTGACAAGTCTTGTGCGATCGTAGCATGACAAACTGTTTGAAGAGCCAGCAGTCGAATCTGCCCCGCCAAAGCAGCACCAACCTTGGGCTGCAGTCTATGCAGCAAGGGAGTGGTCAACAACCCTCCTTCACCAACACCCAGGCGACCAAAAGTAGACAACATAGCCATACACCAAACTACATTCATTGACCCAAGTGGCAGCACCCGACTTGCTAAGGGAACGACAATTCCTGCCTTGAAACATCAGTAACCCGTTGAAGAACGATAACACCTGTTTGAATCAACATGATTCTTTTTTTTTTTTTTTTTTTTTTTTTTTTTTTTTGAAGCCCTTGTGTAAACTCTCTATCCCGGTGGTGGTAGAGAACCGTCAGGATTGAGGGTTTCTCTGTGGGGCTGCTCCATGTATTGGTGGGAAGCGACACCTGTTGGAAACCGGGTCCAGCGTCCCATTGATACATCCTGTAACACAAAGATTGCTCATTTGTTGTTTTCCTGGGGCTATGGGCTTTTCTTTTCTCAGATCCGGGTCTCCGTTGTCCTATGGAGCTGCTAGTAACACCCTTCCCTTCTTAGAGGCCCCCTTATCTTGTTCGCCCGACCCTGTTCTGCAGCCTCCCAATATTTGTTTACTCTACTTGGTCCCCTTAAACCCTATACCCTTTTCGACCTCATGCTCATGCCTTTCGTAATGCTTGAAGCCTGGACTGTAAGCTGTAAGGCTCACCAAAGAATGAGGTTGGGCGGGTGGATCTGCTATTGTGGCGAATGTTACTTGCCTGCTTGACAACGTGAGGTGAGTGACAGTGAGCTCGAGACTCATTAATCGCCCTCCCTAGCTAGAAACAAACAATAGTCTAATGTATGTGGTTCTTGTGTAGCAGGCATGTCTTGTCGCAACTTGGTCGTCTCTGCTTTGTTACGTAGTCTCAGTCGTGACAGAAGTCTGAAGCCAAAGCTTATATGATGTAGCGCTCTGTTCCTGCCAGTGTGTAGCTTGAGGATGATTCTTAACCTTTGAGAAACAGCAACTCCTTGAGAGCCAATAATCCCCACTGTAGCAGCAACAACTTCAAAGTGAAAAACGACGAAAGATACCTTCCGAAATAGCAGAAACAACTGTTATTCAGTTCCCAGAAGTAGCAGCAGCAACACATAGCAGCAATAGCCAGAACGGAAACCTCAACAAAATAGTAGCTTCTCCAACATCTCTCCCTCTTGTTGCAAAGATGAGCATCTCCTCCAACACTCAGGGCGGTTCTTCGAGGCAACAACAATCCTGCTGCTTTAGGTAGCGGTAACAATTTATCGACGGCCGCAACGGCCTGACACCGCTGCAGATCAACCTTAGGACAACGACCTTTCTGCGTCACATTCAACATCGCCCCAACCTCTTTCAGCAGATCCGTAGCCCAACCGTATCGAGGAGTCAACAGTAATTTGTTGTGAGAAAACACGATAGTCTAAGCCCTACACTAACAACCATTGCCAACTTAAACCGAAACAGCAGAATCTGCTGAAAAACCGCAGCTTGAGCGTCTTGAGCCTGAGAAGGTAGCAAGCAGAGGGATCTCCAATATCGGCGCACCACTACCCGCAGATTCAAGAAAAAACCCTTAACCTTCCCTTATTCATCTTGTCCTTGCCTTGAGTTAGTGAGTTTTGATTCGTTTTCATTGACATTGTTTGACATTATGCTTTCTATTGATCTTGTCACACACTAAAGCTTACATTATCCAATTCACCACCATAAAATTCGACGGTTACACCAACTTGTTCTATGCTGTATTTAGATTCTGCTCTACGGAAAGGTAAATCTGCTCTAACAATGCCCTCTTCATCAACTAAAACAACTGGAAATGTCTCAAAGAAGGTAGGCATACGACGTACAAATAATTCATGTCCTTCTTTATCTTTAAATACTGCATGACCTAACCAACCTACTGCAATTCCATCTCCATTATCCATAGGACCAGCACGAAATAGCCCACCTTTAGCAGGATTATTGCCAATATAATCATAAAAGGCCAATTTTTCTGGTAACTTGATATGTGCATGACATATTATTATTTTTATATATAATTATTTGCATGATCATTAACGTTCTGAATCATAATAAAACATTTATAAGACTGGGGACCGGCGTAGACCGTAATTGAAGGGTCTCGCTCGAAGCCGGACGCACACAACAAGAAGGGATTTGCATTAATTAATTTATTTAATTATTGCAAAATACATCAAAGATCCTGCGTGACATCCTGTTGGATCTGTGGTTGTTAGAAGTGGCTTGACTGAAAAACGTGTGACAACGCGTATGTGTGTGTGTGTGTGTGTGTGTGTGTGTGTGTGTGTGTGTGTGCTGTCTCTTATACACATCTAGATGTAAATGATGTGTGTGTGCCCTTCTGTCTGCTCCAG